TTCATACAACAAATGCTTATCAAATGGTTTTCTTTCAAGTATAATACTCTCTTTTGAGGTCTGAAGGAGGCATAAAAAACTCAGAAGACAAACCCCATACATTAAAATCCACCTCTTCAATCTTCCAAGTTTCTTCCAGCTCCCTCTTGTGATTTGTAGATTGCTCCCCATATCTATACACTGTCACAAAAGTTTTGCCACTATGAGCAATATTAACACCATCAACGTACTTATACTCATCGATCACCGATTCTGTGCTCGTCTCCCAGAAGACCCCTTCACCACCATCATCATCCCCATGTATACTTTTTACAGTTAGTAGCCTCGAGTCCTCGAACTTAACCAGGAGGCCAGACCTTTGGCTGAAATATCCCCATATAGTGTGGTGGATGATTTCATATCTTGAGCCACTTTGTACCTCCAGAGCTGATTGGCTTGTGTCAAGCTTTAGTATGAAACAGTCCTCATCTTTTATGATCTTCTCTCCTATGCATACTGCGTCTATGAACAAGTTGGCTGTTGATCGAGGGTCCAAACCCTGCCACAATGCCAGTAATTCACACCCTCTTTCTTAAAAATTTTAACAATAACAACACGAAGAGAAATTGCACAATCACTTGTACATTAGTATTTTTTTTTTTTTTGATAGCTTATTCTACCTATTCTGTTTACTTTCCAAATTAAAAATACCTGTAAAAATCGTCGTAGGGGTCTGGGAGGACCCTCTGCGATGGGTATTTGTAGATTGGAGGATTGCCTCCATGAAATCTTGCCATTGCTTCCTGAGATCACCTTGCACCCGGATATAAGAAGCTCCAAGCACCACAAGTCCGGGTTTTTTTGCCACAGCACAAAGCCACCGGCCTCCTCAGTACTCCTCACCTTCACGCTCTCATCGCCCTGGTGAAAATCCGAAGCACTAATTTTGACTTGCCCAATTGCACACATGCTGTGTACCGAGTTTAATGCTGCCTGTCCTCCTGTGGCCGCTATGTATTGTTGTACAATATATTTAGCCGTTGAAGCTTCCTGTATATAGTATAAAAAAGGTCGCATGGTACAAAGTGAAGTTAATTCTCGGGGAACTACTAAAAACCAAGTAGTTATTTGACAAGTTTTTTAAGAGGAGTTTTGGAAAAGAGAAGATTGACGGAGGAATTCATTGATATTATGTGGATCACTTCGTGAAAATATATCAAATTATCGGACTTCCCAAATTACTGGACTATTTCACTCCCAAGAATTTTTTTCTGCAACTAGTTTTGGGCGGGGTTGGAATTCTCCCCTGTAAAGATCTTGATAAGGGGTTTTTTTTCGTTACCAATTAATGACCGTCGAATCGGAAAAATTGGGTGCAGTCCAGCCCCCATAGTCGTTGTTGATTTTTTATCAGTTTCATGCTAACTTTATATATTGAGGTGGAGTTGTCTTCTGGGGGTCTTAAATCTCTAGCTGCAAATGCCAATGTGTGTCCATGTGGGTTGTTCATTGGGATTAATCATACTGTTTCAAAATTATATTTCTCTTTCAGAATTACTAAACATATGTAAGCAATATATAATGGGTAAATTACAATTTATCTCTTGAACTATTACATTTGTTTCACTTTGTACCTTCAACTATAAATTTTTTTACATTGCAACTTAAAGTATCACTTTTATTTTATATCACTCCAATAGATACCGACTGCTAATTTTTTGAAGGTAAATACACATGTGAGTGATCTGCACTGTTAATATTACACATGTGTAGGTTAAAAATCAAGATAAAGACCCATCCATGCTTTTGCCATTCTTAAGCTCTAAATTTTCTTCCTTAGGCCAGCTTTTTCTTCCCAATAATTATTTGGTTAAAAAAGAAGATAAAATAAAGTGGTACTATGAACTTGGCAGGAAGTTATCTAGGGGTTTCCCTCATTCATTTAACAGATTTTCTAGTTATCTATTATCTATTGGAGTAATATGAAATAAAATTGATACTTTAGCATACAATGTAAAAAAATTTATAATTGAGAGTATAAAATGAAACAAATATAATAGTTCAAGGGGATAAAATGTAATTTACTCATATATAATTGAAGAAAATTAAAGTTGCTGAAGAGAGTTTCTTACAATGGAAGAGTGTTTTATAGGGCGGTGGATGGAATGGTCCAACTGCACCTGAAGAGGAATGAGAGGAGATCCAACAATGTGTAGGAGGAAACTTAGCTCATTATAACGCCCTGCAATAATTGGTGATGACCATTTTTCTGGGGTTTGAGCCTTCATCCAAGTTGCCATGTTTTGCCAACGGAGGGCGACATTGCTGCCCATGCTCGTGAACATTTCCTCGGGGATTGGCACCTCGAGAACAGTCTCGAGGCCATCTTCTTGGTCGAAATTTGGACAGAGTTTTCTCATGTTAATTGTTTGTGTATGTGTGTATGAGAGAGATGAGAAGAGAAAGAAAAAAAAAAAAAGTCTAGAGAGAAAAAAGGAACCCCATTGAGACAATTAATTACCTCCTTAAGGAAGGTGTTAGGATGTGTGGTTTTTTTGTGGAGGGACCGAAAATGAGAGGGTATGGGGAGGCACTATGTCTAAAGGCTCCCCTTTGTTGTAGCAGTCGTGTGGGCACGATTTTAGCTTGCATTCTTCGAGGCCGGTCCAAACATAAGGCTACTAAAGTATAGATTTTAGGTCTCAATTAAAAAAAGGTTTGAAATGAATACGTTTATAACATAGTTTATAAAAAATTTAAATTTATCAAAATTGAGTTTAACAAAAAACCCAATTAAAATTTCAACTGACAAAAATTTTTTTAATTAAATGTTTGGGTAAAAAATTCTAGCTTAATGACACACAAAAATTTGACAAAAAAAATAATAAGATTGAAAAGGTGTAAAAAATTAGGGGTGCCAACTTTGACCCATTGATATGAACCCGACACGAACGATTATAAAATTAATACGCATAATAAGTAGTTTAAACTAATGTTTAATACTCGAAATATACTAAATAGATTTTCTTTTTGTGGGTTTTGACATAAACACGACACATATGAGTCACACAAACACGACATGATTGACAGCTCTATAAAAAATAGGGATCATCCATCATTAGTTATTCTCTCTTTGATACGCACACATTCTCCCTTTAACTATACTTTTGTCATTATCTAAAATTAAAATACAAATCAAACTATTAATTTTCATCCCCTTTCAATTTCAATGCAACTTTTTTTTTATCTACAAGGAGTGCATTACTTTTTAAAATAACTAAAAATATAAAAAAATTAATTTACTGATTCTGTCTATATTCTTTCCTAATAGGCGATGTTAGAAGAAAATTCTTATATCATATCTTAATTTCATAGGCCACAACAATAAATAAAGTATTATTGTTTTATAATTTTAAAATTTATTTAATTTTAAGATAGTAATATTTTCTTATTATAGCAGTGTTTGGTTGATTTATAAATATAACAATTAAAAAATAAACAATTGTATAAGAAAAAATTTGAAGAGAAAATTTCAAAAACTATTTGAATTTTAAATAAAATATTCTTAAATATATTTGTCACTAGAAATAAACACAACATAACAAAACATTTTAGGTATAAATTTAGGTAAATTAAGAAAAATAGATCTCATAAAATTAGAAAGATTAGGTGGATTAACCATGTAATCAATTGAAAAGAAACACATATAAAACTTGAGTGCAAAATTTTACTAATAATTATCATCTCAAAAAGAGATTTTTTTTTAAATTAATATTAAAAAAATAAAACATTTATTTAGAGTCACCCTTATGAACGTCAAAGTGTGTTTAAATTACCCTTTGTTTAAATTATAAACCTCAAAGTGTGTTTAAAGATTTTTTTACTAATAAAATTTTTATAGTTGTTTAAATTACCCTTAATTATATTAAATTGGTCTAAAAAAATGTAATTATAATTGAAAGTTAAAATTTTTTAAAAAATGGCTTGAAACTTAATTTTAAGACAATCACTAATACAAAGGTCTTTGGGCTAAATTATATGATTAATTAAATTCATATTAATATTTTTTTAAATTAATAACCAATAAAATATGATAAGAAAAATAAGGGTAAAATATAAAGTTAGTTATATATCACAACATTCTTGCATTTGCTTGTGTTTTTTATAAGAAAAAAATGTTGGTTATTTATGAGAAAATTCAAGTATGAAGAAAATTATTTTTTCTATCATTTTCCTTTTCATGCTAACCAAATATATAAAAATTTAAAAAAATTTTCTTTCTTGTATTTTCTATTATTCTCTTGTTAAACAAACGGACTCTAGGAGTGAATGAAGGTTATCGGTACAGATCTTCTATCTAAAAGTTATAATAATAAAAAAGAAAAAGAAAAAAAGAAAAGAAAAAATTAGGAAAGACGAAAGAAAGGCCACGACTGGGCTGGTAATGCTAACCAAATGTCACAAGTGCTTAGGGCCAAGTTCAAAACATTGCAGCCCAATTGCGCCTTCTGAGGTTCGAAGTTGATTTCACAGTGAGAAATGATATTTGGATTTAAAATATTGACTTGATTAATTATAATTATTAAATAAGTAGTGAATTTTAATTTACACATTTTTAATTCTTAAGATGCTAAATTCGAATAAAAAATTTACTGTATTTCTTATGTACTCATCAAGGAAAAAAATAATAAAAAATTTATATAACTCTAAACCCAAAGAGGAACATTCATGGCCCACAGCACCTCTTCATTTGAAAATAAAGGAATATTAATTCCATGATATTTATAAATAAAGTAATATTAGAAAATTTTAAAAATTAGATTTGATAATATGAAACGTAACGAACCTGTGTGCCATGAGTTGTCCGTTGTTATGCAGTCCAAAAGGTCCCATATTAAACGCCGCTACATGTTAGGATTCGAACAAGTCAACAAACTTATCTACAAAGTTTTAAGCATGTGGCAACCCTTAAAGACAGTGACCTTCAAAGTTTCTACCACGGGAAAAAAAAATTTTGATCTAGATAAGGAAAAAGATAGTAAGGGAATTGAGCAAAAAGATAGGAAGGGATTGAAGAGAAAACCAATTTGATCATGTTTAGCTACTTCTCACATTATATTAAGAGTTCTTATACAAAGTGCTGGCTTCATAGGTAGTGCTTGACAAGAGGGCTGTACATGCAGTACTGAAGCGTTTACTTTCGGTTGTCTGGGTGGAAATTAGTCCTCACTTTTATATATATATATATATAAAACTTTTCCAGAGAAAAGGGAGGAGAGAGAGAGAGAGAGAGAGAGAGAGAGAATGGGTTCAAAATCAATGGAGGAAGGAACTGGAAAAGGCCAAACAGGGATCAGCAAGTATGCTTGTGCTTGTTCTATAGTTGCTTCTATGATCTCCATCATATTTGGCTATGGTGAGTTCTCCTTCCTTCCTTCTTTCTCTATCCTCCATCCCCCCCTACTCCTGCTGTTTCCGCCTTTAAGGTCGCGCAGAACATATTTTAGGACTACTATATTAGCATCTCGCGGCTCATAATCAAAGTGTTCTTGTGCGATCTCATGCGTGGCCATCGCTAAGTCGACTGGACTGGTTGCGGTTTTTTTGGCATATACTTCAATATAAACTATGCAATTATTGATATTAAAAAATAGATCCCGTGTTAACATAAAATATATAAGTATACTATAACTTTTGCAGAGTATAAGTGATAGAAGATTTACCTTCATATTACTAACTAAACATTACATGTTTGAGTCATAGAATTAGGTTTTCTGCATGTACCTATATATAAATCACCGTTTGTAAATTCTGTAATGAAAAGATACTTTTCTTTGCAGATACTGGCGTCATGAGTGGAGCAATGATATTCATAAAAGATGATCTCAAAATCGATGATACCCATGTACAAGTCCTCGCCGGAATCCTAAATCTATGTGCCTTAGTGGGTTCCCTTTGCGCCGGAAGAATTTCTGACTACATCGGCCGGCGATACACAATCGTCATAGCCTCCATCATCTTTTTGGTTGGTTCAGTTCTAATGGGTTATGGCCCAACTTACGCAGTTCTCTTGGCCGGAAGGTGCACCGCCGGCATCGGCGTAGGCTTTGCACTCATGATTGCACCGGTTTACTCTGCCGAGATTTCATCTCCTTCAACACGAGGCTTTCTCACCTCTCTACCGGAGCTCTGCATTAGTCTCGGCATATTACTTGGCTACATTTCTAACTATTTTTTTGCCAAATTGACTCTGAAACTTGGATGGAGAATGATGCTTGGTGTAGCAGCAATTCCTTCTATTGCCTTGGCCGTTGGAATTCTGAAGCTGCCAGAGTCTCCTAGGTGGCTTGTAATGCAGGGCCGTCTCGGTGACGCAAGGAAAATCTTATTGGAAGTTTCCGGCGACGCCGAGGAGGCCGAAGGTCGGTTGATGGACATAAAGACAGCTGCTGGAATAGACGAGAATTGCACAGATGACATAGTCAAAATTCCAAGGAAGACCCACGGTGAAGGGGTGTGGAAAGAGCTGTTGTTGAGGCCATCACCACCAGTCCGGTGGATCTTACTGGCGGCGGTTGGAATTCATTTCTTCGAGCACGCCACGGGAATTGAAGCTGTTGTGCTCTACGGTCCAAGAATCTTCAAGAAAGCTGGAGTTACCAGCAAGCAAAAGCTCTTGCTAGCCACAGTTGGAGTGGGACTTACAAAGACTGCGTTCATACTAACAGCCACCTTCTTAATTGACAAAGTTGGGAGGAGGAAAATGTTATTAACAAGTGTTGGGGGTATGATTGTGGCATTAACAGGACTGGGGTTTGGCCTAACTATAGTGGAGCATTCTCATAAGCAACTCGTCTGGGCACTGATCCTCTGCATTGCTGCTGTATACATATTTGTTGCATTCTTCTCAATTGGTCTGGGACCCATTACATGGGTGTATAGCTCTGAGATTTTTCCTTTGAAGTTAAGGGCTCAAGGTGTTGGTATTGGGGTGGCAGTGAATAGGATTATGAATGCTGCAGTTTCAATGAGCTTTATATCAATCTATAAAGCAATCACCATTGGAGGGGCTTTCTTTATGTTTGCTGGTGTGGCTGCGGTGGCTTGGTTCTTCTTCTACTTCTTCTTGCCTGAGACTAAAGGGAGAAGTTTGGAAGAGATGGAGGATATTTTCAGCAAGAGGGTGAGAACTAAAGATGTGGCCATGGAAATGCAGTCTTCACATTAACATATATGCAGTGACTTAATTAATGGACAAAGTTTATGGAAAAGATCATTTGCTTCTATCTACTAGATAGAAGACCGACATGGGAATTAGAGTTCAAGATTTCTGAAAAAATTTAGCAAATTCTGATGTAAAGATAAGAATGGGCTGCTTAAATATCTTTGTGTGAATACTAGGCATGATAATAATAAGTTGGATGGCTAGCTTGATTTGACCTTTAATTCTTGGGGTGGTTTAATGGTTGAAATTAACCTAAAGTAACCTAGATATTTCAAATTCAATTCTTTTCTATGACTCCTAAGAGTTAGTCACCTTTGTCTTTTTAGAGACATTCTTTAATCCTGCTCAAGTCACAGTAGCAAGCCGTTGAACTCGAAAGAGTAGTCGGTACAAATTTAGACACCCTATAAAAAAAAGACTTGAACTATGCCAATTTGAATCCCATACTTTATATTTGCTTAAACTGCATAAATAAAATAAACTCAATCTGGTTTCTTGATAATAAATCTTACTCAAATTAGAAGTCTTACTTCCACAGCAGGATTTGGAACAGTTGACACGAGTTGGTAGATTAAATGCCTACCCGGTGTGATGCACCAAATTTATGACTTTTTTTAAGTTTTTTTATATTTTCTCACCTCATTACTTAAAAAATTAAATAAAAAGTAAATTATAGGATAAGACAAATAATTTTTTTAAAAAGTAAATGAGTAGTTGATATTAGTGGGATAGAATGGTGATTACATTGAACATAAAGCAAAATACGATTGGATATATAAAGTCGTGATGTTGTAAATTAAAAAAATAAATAATAATAAAAAAATAAATGATCAGGGAAGAATTTTCAAACTTGTGCGTCCTAAATTGACTGTAATAATATATGAATAATGTCATTTAGATCTAAGAATCTGATCTAATTTGTCAACCTAATAATGTGGTTTCATCCTAATCATTGAATTAACACCATATTTTAATGTTTAATGGGACTCATAGTTAATCTAATGGTTATAGTGAATTATGTCAACAAATTGGGTCTCCATAACATTGCTCTTATTAAAATCCATATAAATTGGTTTGGCCGGCTAATCATTCATAATATATAAGATAGATATATAGTCATACTAATATTGTAGATTGATTAATTTTTACACTTGAACTCATGGCATATCTCTAGTCCTTAAGTCGGGGGTTCAAAGTATTGCATTTGATAATTAGTTTTTGGTCTTAATGGATCATATTTTTAAACTAGCTCAAGTTATGACGATTAGTTCAGAGCTCAAGAAAAGTAGTCGGCGCAAACCTGAACACCCCGTAACAAAAAAGAAAAAAAAATTAGGCCTAAGTAAGAGAATTTGGTTTGTAAGTGGATAGCATGATGTTGAGCTAAACCAAGAAGATCAGTCATGTAGACCAAAAACTTTTATTCTGTGTTATTTAAGTCCCATTTGTCAATTAATTAATAATATCTTAAGAGAAATTATTTTGAATATTAACCCATGCCTTTCAACAGCTTACACTGTTACACATTATTGAACATACAAGTCAAAGGGAACTAGACAATGGAATGTCCAAAGACTAGTCCCAGTGAGATTGGTGGCGTGGCCAAATTGAAGTATGGGCATAGAACATAGTTTTTGGCCTGCCAAAGTCAACATTGATGGCCAATATATTTTAACCTTCTCTATCCATGTGTCGACCTGATTTGCAAATCTGGTGTCCCCAAATATCTTATCTTTTGTATGGGGTTTGTATGTGAGTGGTAGGTACCACTGATGGAGATGGGCAGAGTGGCAGCTATGTATGATTTGTTTGAAGAAAAGACAATTAATCTCATTAAAATAAATTAGCATGTTAGTGATTTTTTAATAATAGCAATATCATCGGGTGATGTCATTTTTTATTTTGTTTTTACTGCAAAATATTAAAACTTGTGTCGACTAATCCCTCAAGTTCAATAATTGACTACCGTGGTTTGAGCTAGTCTAGAGTATGTCTTCAAAGGAATAAAGACGACTAGTCCTTAAAGAGTGTGAGAAGAGATTGAACTTGATACCTCTGAATTACCAAAGAACAAATTCAATCACTAAAGTACGGGTTGATCAAGTAATGTCATGTTTGTAAAACGGTAATATAAGATTGTACACATATTATGCAACTTTGCATATAATTCATAATAATATTCTGCACATATGTAAATCTATTGTCGAGACCAAGTGTCATTCATGATGGAATAGGTCGGTAAGTGGATTCCCAAATACCTAAAAATAGATGTGAACATGAGAAATGAGAAACATACACACAAACTTGGCTTTGGCACCATGTCACAATCATTCAGGTTGGCATTAGGCTATTTTCAGCCCAACAACTATAAAGGTGTTACATCCAGGAAATTGAATCAAATATGTTGAGGAAGTAAAAGGCACAAATGGATTATATTGCGTGAGCTAAAGGGTTTTGTTAATGTTTATTTTATTTGGAGTTCTTTATTTTTTTAGAGTAGCTTGTGTTGCTAAAAATTCTTTTTCATTGCGATTTTCTTGGGTGGTGGGGGTTGAGTGTCCATCCTTTCATTTCTTTTATTTATTTATTTTTGGTGTATCTACTACTATACATTTAGTTAGAAAAGAGCTTGAGTCGGTCGGTATTTAAAAACAATTAGGGTAAGGAATAGGAGTGTTTCCTATGCAACGATGAGATTCATTTCCAAATTATGTCTCTGCCAGGGTTGAGCCATATCCTAGATCTATTGCACCATTTTAGGATAGTATTCAATTTTAATCCAACTAATTTTGTTTCGATTCTCCACAGACATGAGAGCAGGTGGGGAGTTGTTTTCTTCTTCTAATATACTGTTTACCTACGATTGCAATGGGATGGAATAAGAAGATTGCTATATAACTATGAGATTCGATTTGATTCGATTCGATTTTAAATTATGTCTAGAATTGAATTGCATCGTATTCCAGACAAGTTTTGATGAAATTATTCGAATATTAGAATACCAAATTCAACAATATTTGTTGTAAATTTACCAAATAATGCGGTAACACATTCTAACACAAATATGTTTTATAGTACACATATTCTCCAAGAAACGATTACATAGAACACGGCGACAAATTCCATTGTTAAACTTGTATCCATTTATTTATACAAGGTTGGGCCAATGTTGGGCTAAGCCTTTGGGCTAACTACCCGTTAAAACTTCAAAATCCTGTAGACGCGAGAGTACGGGAGAATCCAACTTATTGCTATTCAATCCAAGGTAATCAATTTCGGTATCGTATTAAAATTTATTATTTTTTGAGATTTATACTTTTAAAGGTAAAATTATCATTGATTGAGGTAACTTCGCTATCGATCGATCATGAAATGTTATGATCTATCTAAGGTTTTTATGATCACACAGTAATGATACTGAAGTCGGTACCATACTCTTCCTCTTCGATGCAATCCAGTCCACTAGGATTGAGTTATTTCTAATAAATCCCATGTTTAGTCAACATATATGAATGTTATGGGCCCCACAGATAAACTCAGTGGGACTGAGTTATTTCTAATCAATCCCATATTTAGTCAACACGAATGTTATGGGCCCCACAGATAAACTCATATGATTTATGCACTTGTTTACCATCGTGCCCCTGAATTGGCAGCCAAAGACTAACAACTCTATCAATGCAGGAGCATAGCAGTAACTTTGACCGCCTAATTCGGTTTGGTGCCTTTTTAATACCACTACCACTACCACTACGGCAAGGTTTAAATAACACCAAAATACATGGTTTTATCATCGACATGGTTCATCGTGGGCCCGCCCGAATATACACAAAAAAATCTTTTCCAAACTTGAAAAATGTGGGCCAGGCTTAGTTTTCTCTAATTATTCTCCTTTACCTTTTCAATTGTAGTGAATGAGAACAAGGTAATGCAGAGCGCACCATGTGTTGGGACATATGAAAGATAAAGGAGCTTTAACTTGTCAATGATTCTTGTCCCACAAAAAACAGAGAGGAGACAATTGCATGCACAGATGATTTTGTTCCCTTGGATCCCCACCACTTCTATGAGAGGACGCTTCTTTGGGTTGACTTTTTTCCATCAACCTTGCCTGTTCTAAAGTTGTGTCCAAAGCAAAAGCTACGCTCCTTTCATTGCAATGGTTTGGAGATGTCGCAATATATAATGCCAAACTATTGGATACAAAAAACTACTTTTTTAAAGGAGAATTATACTTGTACATTTTTGAGTAGTTTTGTCACGTAATCACTTAAACTCCTAATATTTGAAATATTACACACAGATTTCTTGAAATTTGTACGCGCGTAATACTTAAACTCTTCCAGTTAATATCTGTTAGTAAATTACACCCAAATTTCCTAAAATTTGTAGACATATAATATTTAGACTTATCAATTTTAAAATGTTATACTTAAACCAAATATACTCTAATCAAATATAGAATATTAAATAATTTAAATTTTACAATCAAAATTCATGTTCTATTATGATATTTATTGAAACAAAATCAAAAATAAATATCTAATTTTTTCTTAAAAAATTGTAATTAATATACAATTATACTGTATATTGAAATTTAATTTGACTGTTTAAACGATCAAATTAAACAATTAAATTATCTCAATTAAAACTAAAAAATATTGTGTTCATTATAGTTCGATCTCTTGTTTGATTTTTTAAAGTTTTATTTTAATAGATAGTATAATTGTATATTGATTATAATTTTTTAAGAAAAAAATAGTTTTTTATAGAAAAAAATAGTTTTTTATTTTTAATTTTATTTCAATAAATGACATAATAGAACAAGAATTTTGGTTGTAAAATTCATGATCTATTATGAATGACTTAGACCCCTTGTTTGATTTTTTAGTTTATTCTAATAGATAATATAATTATATACTCATTATGATTTTTAAAAGATTGAATTGATATTTTTGATTTGATTTTAATAAATAATATAATATAACATGAATTTTGGTCATAAAATTTAAAATATTTGATATTTTATTTTGATTAAAATATTTTTTGTTTAAGTATAACATTTTAAACTTAAGGAGTCTAAGTATTAAATATTTACAAACTTTAGGAGATCTAAGTGTAATTTAGTAATAGATATTGACGATAGGGGTCTAAGTGTTACGTGTCTCAGGGGTCTATGCATTATATCTCAAATATCAGGAAGTCTGAGTGATTAAGTGATAAATTTCAGGGGGTTTGAATTTAATTCTCTCTTTTTGAAACCTTGATAGGTAGTTCAAGTGGTAAC